TGCGTCTCGGCGGTGCCACACCTAACGCGTTGGCATACGCGAAGCATTGGCAGTGTCCGACTTGTGCTGAGTCGGAGGCGCCGCCCCGTCCGGTGCAAGGGACGGCGGATGTGCGACCATTCGGCTTCAATGTGACGGTTGTGATCGACGTGAAGTACCTACGGGGCGCGGCCAAGGAGCAGCTGGTGGTCCTCAGCATGGTGGATGCTGGTACGGGATGGCACTGCGCCTGCCTTCTCAAGAATAGGACGGCCAAGCACGTAGCACGCCAGATCATGAACGAGTGGTTCAAGCATTACGGCGTGCCAGAAAACATCCTGATCGATCAGGGCGGCGAGTTCGAGGGCTACTTCAACGCGTTGATGGAGCAGTTCGGCATTAATACGAAGACGACGGGAGCTCATGCAGCATGGCAGCATGGCCTGGCCGAGCGCCACGGAGGATTGCTCGGCACTATCTGGGGCAAGTTGGTGCACGAGTTCCACGTCCAGGGCAAGTCGATGTCTACTGTGGCCCTGGCTGCCATCATCAATGCGAAAAACTCCACGATCAGCCGCAATGGATTGACCCCGGAGCAGGCTGTCTTCGGGCGGATCTTGAACTTTACGGAGGTGACTAACAGGGGCGACGATGAGGTTCTCATGTCGGTCCTCGGCGCCAAGGGCATAGCTTGGCGTTCGTCCCAGATCCGCACCGCAGCAAAGATGATGTTGCTGGAGCGCGACGCGACGGACAAGGTGCGGAGGGCGTTGCTACGACAGGCGCCGACGGTCGTCGGTGATCTGTGCCCAGGATCGAGGGTGTATTTCTGGGCACCGAATCCGTTCAAGGGACGTCGTCGGCAAGATCCTGAAAGATGGCGGGGTCCTGCGACTGTGATCGCGAAGGAGTCCAACAGCCGTTGCTACGTATCCTGGCGTGGTCACGTGCTACTTGTTGCTCGTGAGCAGCTCCGGCACGCCTCCTCCCAGGAGGCCGCAGCTGCGGAGTCCATCCAGACGGACGTGCGACTGACACAGCAGCGAGATGACCGCGCTTACCACGACCTCGTGGACGTCACGCCCAAGGTGAAGGTTCAGAAGGTGAAGAAGACGTTCTTGAAGAAGGAGCGTGACCGACATGGGGAGCTCGAGGGGTCCAGGCAGCCTCGTGTGGACCTGAGGGCCCTGGGCGCCATTGAGGCACAGGCCAAGGAGGAGGAGCCGCCTGAGCAGCAGCAGCTGCCGCAGCTTCCCCCTCCGAAGAGGGAACGTTCTCGTTCCCCTCCAGGGCGGAAATCCTCTGAGGTGTACCCGAAGGCCTCTCCGGGAGCATCGGGCTCTGGCGGCCCTTCGGTGCCGCCGATTCCCAGAGACGATTTCGAGCTTGAGCGAAAACGGAAGTTCCTGGTAGATGACGTGCCGATTTGCATCAAGAAGACGCGTCTGCAGGCTGCTCCTACGAGTGGTTTGCCGGCCCTCCGCGAAGTGGCCATGAACGCCGTTGTGCACTCGTGGCCTCAGGAGTGGTTCGACCAGAATGCCTTGGATGGTGTCTCCACGCTCGTTCAGAAGGTCGTACGAGGAGTACGTGTGCACCGAGAGCCACGGCGGAGACTCTATGATCACGACCGCCACCGGGAGTGCAATCGCCTCTCGGTGATGCTCTCCGCTACGGGCCAGTGTGCCTACAAGGACGACGGCGCGAACCGTGCCAACGAGCGCGCGGAGGACAGCTGGGTTGGTCTCACGCTTTTCTACCACGACAAGCCGGACGCTCATGCAGAAGGGGTGTACTATTTGGACACTCCGGAGGGGCTTGTACGACAGCCGATGACTTACGAAGAATGGATCAACGTGTCATCTGTGCATGACGCATGGCTGCAGGAGGCCAGGTACGAGCACGACACGTTCGCACTCGTGATGAAGCAGAACGCGAAGGAGCTAGACCCACGTCACTTCAACCAGCACGAGAAGGCTAAGTTCGACGAGGCCGATGCCGCCGAGTGGCGGCAATGGATCGCCAACAACACGGTCGAGCTGGTCACCGAGGAGGAGGAGAAGAGCATCCCGAAGGACAAGATCTTCTCGGTGCCCATGCGTTCGGTTCGCACGAACCGGGGACGAGGGCCGGAGCTGGAGGCGAAGTCTCGCTTGATCATCCCTGGCCATCTCGATCCGCAGCTTGGTCTATTCAGGACGGATTCGCCTACTACTTCCCCTTTGGCTGTGCTGGTGTGTGCGTCTATCACAATGGCGATGGATTGGACATTCGAATGTTTCGACGTAGCGACTGCGTTCCTGTCAGGGCTGAAGCTGGAACGGGAGCTGTATGTGAGGGCTCCTAAGGACGGGCTTCCAGCCGTCGACGGTGCTGGATGGCCAGCCGTGCGACCTTATGCGTTGCTGCGCTTGCTGAAAGGGGCGTACGGTCTGACTGAGGCGCCTCGGTTGTGGTATCTCCGAGCCCGCCAGGTGTTGACGGACGAGGTCGGTTTCGTGGAGCTGCGCTGTGCTCGAGCTGTCTTCGTTTATCGAATGAAAGACAAGTTGATCGCTATGTTGACCTTGCACGTCGATGACGGCATGCTGTTTGGAGACCCACACGATCCCCCGTACCAGGAGGTGAAGGCGAACATCAACAGTCGTTTCAACATCAAGCACTGGAAGAAGGGCAACGACAAGGAGGCAATCGCCTATCTCGGTGAGGAGTGGTGGCGCCACCCTGATCACATCGAGATCAGCATGCACGAGTACATCGGCAAGCTGACGAGGCACCCCCTTGCAAGGGGTGACAACGAGGAGCGGGAGATGACTCCCGAGGAGCACCACGACTACCGGAGCTTGCTCCAGAAGGTGCGGTGGCCTGTCGCACGCGCGGTGCCACAACTCGCGTATAGTGTCTCGGCGCTCGCACAGAAGGATCCGAAAGGTCGGAGGTTGCTGCACCTGCGAGTGCTCAATGACATCATCGACCGGCTTCAGGACTACGACAAGAGAGGTCTTGCGACTCTCCGGATCCGCCGCGTGGACATCGAGCGCTTGCAGGTGCTCACGCTTATGGGCGCTTCGTTTGCGAAGGAACCCGGCTGTAAGAGCCAGATGGGGTTCATGAGTATGATTGCGGACACCCGAGTTTTGAAGGAGCTAACCGTATGCTGTCTAGTGGAGTTTCAGAGCAGTACTATTACACGAGTTGTTGGATCTACGATGGCCGCAGAATCTGCGGCTATGTCCGTGGCCTTGGATCGGCAGCTTTACCTCAGGCTGCTGATTGAGGCAATCTTGTACGGGGAGCCGCCCTTGCAAGGGGACTGGAGGCTGGCGCTGAAGGTTCCAGGGGCGCTCGTGACGGATGCGAAGTCGCTCTACGATCACACGTCCAAGATCGGGTCGATGCCGGTGTCTCGGCAGACCCTCACTGACTTGCTGGTGGCCAAGGATTTGATAGAGCAGGAGGCCATCAAGTTCAAGTGGCTGCCTAATAGCCACATGCTAGCGGATGTGCTGACAAAAGCCGTGCAGCCTAACGAGGTACTATCGCAGTTCCTCCGCGACGGCCTGTTCAGCATGGTGCCTACTGCTGAGCAAGAGGATGAGGAGGCACACCGTCTGCGGCTGCGCCGCGGACAGCGTGAGCGAGCCAAGGAGCGGAAGGCCCAACGTCGGGTCGCCGTTCCAGGGCCTGCGAGCCCGTGAGGTCCTGATGGCAGCTGCTGATGGACCTAGTGAGGGCTACGGTGATGTATGCATATCCTTTGAGTTGATCGTCTGGAGTAGTGTATCCAGATATTCATATTCTTGTATTTATATTTTGAGCCTCAGGCCGCACCTTGCTTGAGGTGTCTCATGCATATATTTTGAGTTGGCAGTCTGGATTGGTGAATCTAGACATTCATATTTATATTTCGAGCCTCAGGCCGCATCTGCTTGAGGTGTTTCGGCCCGTGGGCTGATATACATTATAATTGCGTGCAGCGTCGCCCTTTCAGAGGGAGCGGCATCGGGGCAGCATTGTACTCACCCAGTGTGAAGAGTGCACTCCCCTGCCCCTCTGCCGCCCGTGCCACCATGTGTGTATGTTGTACACGCTTGTCTTGTTTTGTGGCATGCACGCTGCCCGCCGCTGTTTTGGCCCTAGTCCTAGGGCCCTGG